CACCAACCCCCACTACTGATGTAGAGGTGCCACTCATCTTCTCCCTCACTAAAAAACTAATCTTTCCAAATTTTACCCACCCCCCACACTTTCCCCTTTTTCACTTCACTCAAAAAGCTGCACCTAGAAATCAACACAACATCAGTTAATATACAAACATATACACAGAGAGAGAGAGAAATGTGTTTTTGTGTGTTGTGTGTGAGTTATAGAGAGCAAAGTTCGTTGAGGTTACCTAAGAGGGGGACAGATCTAGGGTTTGGACAAGCATGGAAGAAAGAGCAGAGAGATAAAAGCTGAAGAAACAAAGAAAGAAAATATATAAAGTGAAGTGAGATTTAATTAGAGTGAAATCAAGAAAATAAATAACACTAGTACTTATGTACAAGACAAAATTAATGAACTAGTATACTTACATTGAACTTTATGATGAGCAAGAATAAATGACAATAACAATGTGAATGATGACATTATAGTAGAAGTTTTATGAAAGATAATGAAGGGTTTAAGGTTTAAAGAAGGGAGTGTTGATGTTTAAGGAAGCATTGGGGCATGGGGAGAAAAGAGGATTGAAAGAAGGGGGACCTAATGGAGTGGGGTAGAATGAATTATGTCTTGTTGTGGTCCAATGATGGAACACCTCTTTTTATATCTTTCAAATTAGTCATGTGAATGTATCATGACCCCAAAGATGTAAACTTTGTCCTTAAGGTTCAACAATAATTAAGATGACCTACAAAAGATCTTATTCTAGTTTGATATATATGCTTGTTTTTTCTCTTTTTTACTTTTTGAAATTTTGTGCTTTTTGCTTGAGCAAGAATGTGAAATATCTTAAGAAATAAGCTCCAAAAACATCATCCAGAGGTATGGTGGCATAGATGAGATACTCAATCTTTAATTAGAAGTTTCATATAAATTGTGAAAATAGAGAAATTCTTGATGAGGAGCATTTTCGTATTTATGAATTTTAAAGAATGTGAATGTGATTAATCTGAATTATATTATATCGCATAACTTCATTTCTATGTCACTTATGTCAAACAAGACTATAAAAATTCAATAATCGTAAAAGACAAAACTTACATTGATCAAGAATATATAATGTTAAAGGGACTAACATATTGT